TTTTTTAATTACCGCCTGGGACAAACAGACATCTGTGTGGATTGACCTGCCTACTTGGGGCCCCTTTTCCAGACAAGAGCTCGGTCTCCGCTGCCTCTTAGCCTCAGAGCCTGGCGGGTGGACGTGTACCTTTCCGAATTAGTAACAATCTGTAAGCCACTGGTGTGGACTGGGAACCAAATGGGCTCACTGGAAAGGAAGGGATTGACTAATCGTCAGCTCAGGCCCGGATCCCATCTGGTGCGGAGAGGCGAGCGGCGGGGGAGGGAGGTGTGAGGCCCCACCCATCTGTTTGTTTTGTCCCCCCTAAAGTGGACAAAGGGCAAGGGGATTGGGTATTGGGGGGCCGGGAGGGGGGAGTAGCCTGGTCAGTTACAGCCCCTGAGCTCCCTGCCACCCCCAAGCTTCCCGGAGCTGTTCCTGCATTTAGTCTAAGGCGGGACTTTATTTTTTAAAACGTATGCGGTTGTGAATAGATGGTGCTCGCTTGTTTCTTTATTTATTGATTGGACCAAATTACCCCAACCACTCCTCGGGTAGTTGAGCGTGATCGGATTTGGTTTTAAACATGCTTTTAAAGTAAAAAAATAAATACGACCGTGGCTTGTGAAAGGTGATCATTAGGGAGCGCTCGGCCCCATAACTTGAAAGTAATAGCCCCATTAGGGGGGGGTGAGTCCTGAGCCGCTCCTCCTGACGCTGTGAGGCCCAGGGGCGTGTGTGGGCAGGTTAGGCGGCTCAGTAAAAGCTTTTCCGGCAGCCATTTAACCTCCATTTATGAAGAAATAAAGCGAAATTGATGCTGATTTGGGCCTGCTTTGGGGGGTATTTTTGTTCCATAAAAGCCCTTTTGCTTGCAATTTGCTGAGCTGCTCTGTCACATCGAAAAGGGCTGCCGTTGATCAAGATAAACCTTTATGGCCATGATATTTGCTGCTAACAGCAACCTAATGCAGCATTTTCATTTCTGTGCAATTAATGTTAACGTCTGCTACGGAAATTGTCATTAAATACCATTTTAAAATCCATTCAATTTGCATATGCAAAGCCCATTTGCCATCAAGGGAGATGCATCCAGCTCTGCATCATGTCCTGTCCCTGGAATTGTGGCCACTTAGTTTGATAGCAATTTAAGATTTTTATATTGAAAGCCAGATGATAATGGATGTCCTTTCTGAGCCCAGATGATGTAAGCTTTGCCATTGTATATAGAAAAACGGAGTCCCAGGCCTGGAAACTGTGGGTGTCGATGCTGTACCTCAGTCCCAAGGAGGCAAGGCATGGAAGAAAGAGCACTGGACAGGGAGTCCGCCGGCCTGGCTCCAGGTCTGGCTCTTGTATGGTCACAGCTTGCTCTGTGGCCTTGGGAAAGTCTCTTTACCTCTCTGAGCTTCTAGTTTCCTGTTTTAAATAAGGGCTTTGAACCAGGTGACCGCTGATGTCTGTATCTTCCCTCCCTGCCTGGGCCGGCTGTAGCCCTGCCTACCTCCTGCACAGGGTTTTAATGACAATGAAACTAAATTGACGTAGGGACAAAACATACCCGAGAGACCTAGGATGCCCGGTTACTCTATAACGTCCTATTTATGGAAGAGAAAACGGAATTCTGGAAGGAAAGAGAGTTTGGGACAGAGCTGGGACTGGCACCCCAGGCTGACTTGGCCAGGGCTCCTCCTGGACACCAGGCTGTCCTTGAGACGCTGGTGACCTGCGTGGACAAGTCTAGCGATCTGGTGCCCAGCGAGGACTGTGTCCCTCTGTGCTCCAGGCAGCCTGTGAGAAAAAGGCAAGGAGGGCGTACACGTGCTGAGGGTGGCAGGTGGATGGGGCGGGGGAGCCCGGGGAGATGCCCGGCGTCGGAGGGGCTGAGGTGGGGCAGTGTACAGACGATTAGTTACTCCAGCCCAGAAGTGACTTTCCCAGCCGTCCCTAGGTCAGATTCTGGGCCTGGGGGCTGGCGGATGGAAGTGCATCTCCGGCGAGAGAGACGCGAGGCCGGGGCGGGTAGGAGAGCCGAAGAGATGATGCTGGTGAAGCGGAAGAACAGAAGGTGTGAGCGGGTAGGATGGCAAGAAAGGCAGAGGGAAAGGCGTCCGAAGGGTCAGCGGCACGTGCCTCGGAAACCAGCAAGGAGGCTCCTCAAAGAGTTAAGCTTAGGATTCCCACGGGAGCCGGCGACTCCATGTCTGGGCATGTGCCCAAAGGACCGAAAGCAGGGGCTCGAACAGATACCTGCTCACCCAGGCCCCTGGCAGCACCGTGCGCAGGGGCCAAAAGGCGGGAGCCACCCGGGTGCCTGTCAGCAGAGAGACGGATGGACAGCAGGTGCTCGGGACGCACAGCGCAACCTTGTCGGGCTTTAGAAAGGAAATTCCCACACCCGCTAGGGCGTGGATGTGACCCGGGCCGGCCTGTCCGTGTATTTCACAAACGCTACGCACCGGGGCTCGTTCAGGGTCGGGCATCTCGACCTCAAGGCCTTTGTGGTTCCTGCGCCCTTCCCACTGGGGTCACTGAGACGACAGGATGGGACTGACCCTGGCCCCTCTGTCACAGGGCGGAGAAGCTTATCAGAGGCTGGAGCACGAACTGGGACGCGGAGAGAACCACAAAGGCTGGTATCACCCCATTGCCCAGATCCAGCTGTGCCTGAAGCTCTCCCCCTGGGCTTTTCAATCACGGGAGCCAATGAATTTCCCTTAAAAAAAATCAAGGCAGTTTGAGTTGATGACATGCAGCCACATTCTAATTTTTTTTTTTTTTTAATTCTCACCTGAGGATACTTTTTCCATTGCTTTTCAGAGAGAGTGGAGGGGGGGTGGAGAGAGAAACATGATTGGTTGCCTCCTGCACGCGCCCATGGATCCAGCCACCAACCAAGGTGCCCGCCCTTGGCCGGAATCGGACCCGGGACTCTCCAGCCCGGGGGCCGGCCTCTAGCCACTGAGCAAAACCAGCCAGGCCCCCATTCTACCGTGACAGGACGTCACGGCCTCTGACCCGGTCACTGTGACCAGGTGTGAAGGACACTGACTGGCCGGGCCTGTCGCTTGCCGCTCCCCGAGGGCGAGTCTCGCTCCCACATTAGTCCTTAACCCGGCCGCCGCTGAGCACCCCCGGTGAGGAATGGAGCCCGGGGTGCGGCCACCTTACCGTGCGCGGATCCCAAAGGTCATATTTGGAGGCAGGGAGGGCGGGTCCCGGAGGCGCCGCTCGTCCTTGTTGCTGACGCGGACGTCGTTGACCTGCCGGTACAGCAGGTTCTCCCGCGCCGTCACCAGGCCCGTCTTCACCGCCCCGCGGTTCATGGCGATGTAGTTCCGGGTCAGCTCCTGGGCACAGGTGGGCTGCTGCTTGAACACGTGCCAGTGGCCGATGGCTGAGGACAGGCAGAGACAGGCCGCGAGGAGGTCAGCCCGGGAAGTAAAGCCCTTCGCGCCTCTAAGGAACGGGGCCCGGGTCCTGTTCCTTCCCGTTAGCCTGGGGCCGCTGCGGGGACCCCGCGTGGCTCCCTGGAAAGCGGGCGTCAGGACCCCCAGGATTCCAGAGGGCCGCCCAGCACCCTTCCCGGAGCTGGGTTTGCCTGGCCCTGAACCCCTTTGGGCGATCAGAGGGCCGTTCCCGAGCCCACCCTGGGCCCCCAGCTTAACCGGCACAGCACAGGGGGTCTCCGGCCTGGGCCAAGGCTCCGCGCAGGCCGAGCTCCCTCCGCTTCCCCACGCGTTCCCCGGGACCGCACAGCCCTCCCCACCCAGGCCGGGTTTCCACCGGGGGAGCCCCAGCTCGGAGCTGCTGCCTCACCTTCGGGGACCCCTCCGTCCAGCCCCCGGATGTAGAGTCCGTAATTAAAATCAATTCCGGGGAGGCTGCAGCTTCTTTCCCGGGGCTTCCCGAGCTCAGCCTGTGGGGGAAGCACAGGGAGCGAAGGTGAGGAGTGGAGCTCGCACCAGCTGCTCTGCAGTAAACTTAGCAACGGGGAGCCACCGGGTGCCCGCTTTGCCCCCGGCCCCGTGGGCAACCTTGGGGCCTGCGGGGCGTGGACGACAGGGCCCTTCTTGAGAGGAGCTGAAGTTCGGATGGGCATGAGGCTGACGGGGGCACTGTGCTGAGGAGCCAGCCTGGAAAGCAGGGCGGTGGCCGGCGGTCGGGTGGGAGGGGACAGCGCAGTCCCTGCTCCAGCAGCTGCCCTTGTGGCCGCCCAAGGCCTGCTGGCTCCCGCTGGAGGCCACTCACCCACGCGGATGCGCCCAAGGGCCCCGGAGCCCCGACGAGGACGGGCATCTTTCCTCCCTAGCTCTGCATCCCTACTCGGCGACAAGCCCCGCCGTCACCCTTGGCCGCTGGACAACTGTTCTCACTCTCCGGGTGTCCGGTGAGCTCCTCCTGAGCCCCCAGAAGGGGTTTGTAGGAAAGACCATGCTGTGTGTTCCCAGCCACATTAATTCCCCTGTTTTACAAGTAGGGAGACTGAGCCCCGAGAGGCGGAGCCATTGTCCCCAGCCGGGCGCTTATGGGAGACAACTTGATGTCTCTCTCTCACATGGATGTTGCTGTTTTTCTCTCTCTCTCCCCCTTCCTCTCTCTCTAAAAGCAATTTTTAAAAAAATGAGTGAATTGTACAGTGTATGAATTATGTCACAGTAAAGCCATTAAAAATGACAAAGTCGCCCTGGCCAGAGCGGCTCAGTGGTTAGAGCACCGTGTCTCGGGTTCGATTCCTGCCCTCAGCCGGGGTGTGTGTGGGAGGCGGGGTGTGTGTCTCCCTCACATCGATGTCTCTCTCTCCCTCCCTCCCTCCTTTACACCCTCTCCGAAAAAGCAATGGAAAAATAATCTTCAGTTGAGGATTAACAACAACAACAAATTACAAAGTAGTGTAATTAAGTCATTAATTGCGTGAGGATCAGTTTAATGCCTGTCTCCCCAGGTAGACTGTGAGTTCAGTCTTTATTTGTTTAAGGTTAATTTAAAAACTTCTTTTTTTAAAAAAAATAGACTCTTTTTTTTTTTTTAGAACAGTTTTAGGTTCACAGCAAAATTGAGCAGAAGGGACAGACTCCCCATCGGCCCCCCCGTTGGTCTTTATTTTCACCCCTCTTTTTCCAGGGCTCAGCATAGAGGAGATGCTAATAAACAGGAGGGTGAATGAATGAACGAAAGGCCCACATGGAGATTCTGCTTGTTCTTTTCTGCACAGAGCCTGGGCGGTTTCCTCCCTCTTCCTTCCCGTCTCAAAGCCCAGGCCCTGACCTTCGAGGGCCCCGGGTTCTGAGTTCCAGGCGGATGCTTGGGCGTTTGTTTGAATTCCTTCCACACGACTCGCTCTGAGCTGCAGACAAAGCTCTGGCTTCTCATTTGTTTATGAAAATGATCTGGCCTCTCTGATGACTGCCGGGGAAGTTAATTAAAATGTGACTTCTCTGGGAGAGGCCTCCCTCCCTCTGGGCAGGTGCAGGTGGGCAGACTTCCAGCTGGCAGGAGAATGACAGACAGGCTCAGGAGCTGGCTGCCACTCTGGGTGGGCAGAAGGGGTGGGAAGAGGCGGGAGTCTGACTCTCCACACTCTTTTTCTGGGAATCAACAACTTCCAATGCACAATGAAGCCTTAGGCTGCAAAGATCATCCCAGTGGGGGGTTCACTCATTTTTTTACTCCACGAATATTTATTTTCTACCTGTTCAGCATCAAGCCCTGTGCCCAGAGTTTGAAGGTGAACAAAGTAGATGCATAGGCCCTGCCCTCGTGAAATTCATCTTCTTGCAAAAAGGACAACTGAACAGATTGCCTCTAGCTCTAAAAACTTGTGAGTCCACAGAGTGAGACGAGATATTTGCAATACATGCATCTGACAAAAGACTCTTATCCATCATATATAAAGAGCTGCTACAAATCAATAAGAAGAAGGCAGCCAATCCTGTAGAGAAATGAGCAGGATTGGCACTTCGTTAAGAGGATGCCCGAGTAGCCAAGACCCATAGGTTAAGGTGGGAAATGCAAAGTAGAAACTCAGAGCTCCTGGAACTTGGTGGGCGTCTAAGCTGGTGTGACCACTGTACAGGAAAACTGTTGCGCCGTATCTACTAAAGCTAAACATACGCCAACCTGGATCCCCCACAGAAATGAGTGCCCAAGTTCACCCAAAGATATGTCTGAGAATGCTCATAGCACCTCAATACGTGATAGCCAAGTACCGGAAACAGCCCTAAATGCCATCCTAGGTGGGGGGAAAAAGTTGTGACTTATTTATTCCATAGAATACTCTATAGCAGTGGTTCACAACTGGGGGGGCTTTTGCCCCCCACCCCCGAGTACATTTAGTTCTGTCTGGAGACATTTTGCGTTGTCTCAGCTTAGGAGGGAGCACTACCCTCCCTCTGGGGGTGGAGGCCAGGGGGGCTGCTAAGTGTCGCACAATACACAAGACAGCCCCACCCCAACAACGAGTGATCTGGCCCCAAGCCAGTAGTGCCGAGGCCGAGAAACACGCTCCACCAGCGGGAGTGAGAGACCTGTAGGCAGCCACACGGTGCTGCTCACACACAGTGTGCAGTCAGAGAGGCCCGCACGCAGGGCTATGCCCCTTACTGAGCACTAACTGTGTCCTGGGAGCTTTTCGTGCGTCTCCCTGAACGCTCTGCCAACCCCACGGGGAGGTAGTTTTCCCACTTTACAGATGGGAAAACTGAAACTTAGAGAGGTCCTCGCTTGCTCCAAGCCATCCAGGGGGTAAATAAAGAGCTGGGGTTAGACTCGGCTCTCGGACATCGTAGCTCGGCGCTCGCCCCACAGCAGCCCCTCACGACGACTCCGTAAGGGAGCCCACATTGTCGTCATGGGACAGATGGGCAAGTGGAGGCCCAGAAAGGGAGGGGACCGGTGAAGCCCTGTCCGCCCTCAGATGCAAGCCCTCCTGTGTCTCTCATATTTGTGGCTGAATTCTAAGGCACCTCAAGCAAAATCCTCGCCGTCTTTTGAGGGGCACGCCTTAGCTTTGCGCCACGGGGATTGAGAAACAGCTAAGCTGCTCAGATGTGACCCACTGGCCTAGTCCCTTGTCATCGAGGTGTTAGAATCAAGAGGCGAACTTGGAGAAGAGTCCCAGCTTCGGTTCTGACCACCCCACCCTCCCCTGCAGCTTTCAAACTGTGCCTTTCTCCGAGCTTCCTCTGTCACAACGTGGCTTGGCTGGAATACGGCTCTGGGTGACAGCTGTCCCCATCAGCAGACAGCTTCATTAAACCTCATTAAGATGTCATCCCTCTCTGCCTGAGTTCTCATCGCTCAGCTCTAATTAAAACCATCGCTGTTCCTGTCCCAGGGGTCCTGGGATTCTCTGGGCTCCTTCTGCACCAAAGCTCCCTCCACCCCCCAACCTGAAGGACCAGGCCCCGGAAATCAGCACTGGGAACCAGCCCCCGGCCCGGAAGTCCCCTCGGAGCAGCCTGTCGCCGGCGTGAGGACCGCTGGGGCTTTCCAGGGACCAGCACAGGTGGTGTTTCCCGACGGCTGCTGCCTCTCGTCTGAAGTCACCTGAGGCCCAGGAAGGAAGGCCCCTGGCCCTGGAAGCCTGCCAAGGCCCGTTTTCCTGGGACAACTTCAAAGCAAATGACCGGGTCTTGCAACTCAAATCTAATTATTTTCCACTCAATATACTGTAAAACAATGTTAACCAGAAGAGGCAGGAATGGGCGAAACCAGGTGGCTTTGATTCTCGGATGGTCTGTACTGGATCTCCCCCTGGACAGACAGGCTGGTGGTCACCCCCAAAGTGCTGGTTTTCTGTCTGGGGGCTCGATGCCTGCGTTCCAGACCTGCCTTCGACGTAAGGAGCTGCTCCACGCAGGAATCACTCCCACCTCCTGGCAGCCGCGCAGACCATCGCTCATTAACCCCCAGCCCAGCGTCTAAAGTAAATGAGTGTTTGTTCGACAGTTGAAAAGCCTCCGCTCACTTTCCTGCATCCTATTAAAGCGTAGTTACGTGAAATCCCACGGTTACGGCCTGGTAGTTATTAAATAAATATCCGTGTACGCTCCCCGGCCCATGCATATGCACACACAGACCGTTGTTGCGCTCGCGGAGGGGTAGTTCATTATTGTAAAACAACTTAAGATCCTCGAATGAAAAGCACAATATAAATGCAAATTGTGATCATGATTAGCATAGAGGATATTTATTTATTTCCATAATGAGAGCCTCAGATAAACAACCACGTGAAATAAGGTGCATTATGCACCAAAGGGCGCGCATCGTCTCAGAAGCCGGGCTCTCTGAGCCTCGGGCCGTGTGTGAGTGGCAGTTGAACACCACGGAACGATACTAAGCCACACATGAGGAGACCACATCCACGTGTGATCAAAGGCAAATAAAATAATGTCAAGTGAAAAGAGGCACAGCAGGATTTAAATTTTACATAGACTGTTATTGCGGCCGTGCGAAAAAAAATTCATTGAAAAAAATACTGGAAGGAAACACGCAGGCCGACCGACTGCGAGGGCCTGCGGTTAGAGACGGGGGCCTTTGCCGAGGGGGTGGGGTTTCCTCTGATAATTAAAGCAGTCAAAGGGCAGAGCTGCCTTGTAGGTTTGTTTCTATGCTATGTATTCCTGCCAAGGGTCAGAGTTAAGGCTCTTCTCTGTCATTATAACTCTGCTGCAAATTTATAATGGGGCTGAGGTTGTGCCGCAGGTGGGAAGAGGTGCTGGGGAGGCCCCCCCCCCCAAACGGGACGATAGGGAAGCCAGCATGTGAATGTCACGCAGGACTGAGTCCCAGCTCTCCCACTTCCCAGGTGACCTTGGGCAAGTCACTTAACTTGCCTTGTCCCGTTTCTGGACTATGAAACCTCGGCAGGCCACATAGAGCGTTTAGCGGTGTCTGGCCCAGATGCGTGCTCAGGGA